ACCGCGACCTCACCAGGTACGGTCTTGCAGCCTCACATCAGACAAGGAACTATTTTTGGTGGTGGAGGCACGGGGACCGAGTAGGACAATTCCCACTGTTACATTCTCATGCTCCCCCTCCCTGAGGTTTCTGAAGAATAAGCTTCAACTGAGTTGCCGCTTCTCAATTACACACGTACAGTAAGCATCCACGCAGAGGCAGTTTATTGCAAAGCTAAAGGACATTTCTGAGAGAGAAGTGGGTTTGGCTCTGCGACAGGACAAGACCCAGGTGGGGTCTCGAATCTGTATTTTTGATATATCTGCTCTCACATATGGTAATAAAGGGGAGGAATGTTCATTTAACTCTTAGTAAAGGGGTGGACATTTCCTGGAAATGGGATGCTACCCCCTCCTGTTTCCTTTGTGACTGTGTGCTCTTGATGGTTTGGTTTTTAAGGTTTCTTTCCCAAGGCGCCTTCCATTTGTGGTGGATTGCTTTGTCTTGCATCTGGTATTTGCTCTTCTTCCATGGTTCCACCTTTTCTTTAGTTTGAGCCAGGGGGAAAAAAGGAGCTCAGGAGATCCCCAGTTTATCCCTGCCAGTGTTAGGTCTTCTATCATTGCTCTGCCTTTTACTTAGTTTGGACCAATCTGTCCCAGTCACCATTATGGGAAGTACCTATTGGGTGTGATGAGGTGGGAGGATCACATCTTTTTCTGTAAGAAACAAGCAAACAAACAATGCTATACTGTGACTTAAGTGAAGGTTTACAGAGCAGATCATCAGTTTTACATTCAACATATTCTGCACTTCATTTTAGTTCAGTGACTGAAATCCATTCCATGCAACATCAGTTATCTCCCCTCCTCCTGTGAGTCTTGCTTCCGTTCCAACCTTTCTGAACTTTGTCTTTAGGTATATGTTGCCCTTTTGATCTTGAATTGTTAACCAATCCATGATGAGCAAACATTTCTAGGGTTGTTCCTCTCTATACATTTATATCACTTGGCTGAAAATGGAAACATGAGAGCGAGTTTAGACCCAGACCTGAAAGGTGACCCAGAGCCACAGTCTCGGGCTCCTCCAGTCTCTTTCTGATCAGAGAACCCTGTCTGTTGTTTTTTGTTTTTTTAAAAAATAATTTTGAGCTCTATTTCACATTTTCTCCATCCAAGACCTTCTAATGTGACCCCTTTCAGAACAGTTGGTAGGGATGTCACCAGGTAGTTCTCTGGTAACAGGGTCATGGAGATTGATGTTCACATGTTGCCTTCATCCATTGGGCTAATTTTTATCATCTGTCTTAATTTTCCATCACTCTTATTTCCTCCG